AAACTAAAATCCTCCAAGCCTCTCCCTCATGGCTGCAGAAACCAGCTCAGAGCCAGCCGTGAATAATCTCTCCCACAATTAACTCCTGATGTTTACCTGTGTGATTGCCTATGGAGAAACTTCTACCAGACGGAAAGGCGCAGTCCCAAGGCACCTATCTCTTTAGTAAGTGCTAATGTGAGGGAGCAGCATCGATAAGCCACAGAGGAAAAAAGAAATGGAAAGAAGAAAGTGTATCCCAGTGTGCTTACTGTCAACACCTCTGCTTGCAGTCCTCCACACCTCCTTTCAAGTGTTCTAGGAAAAGATATTCTGGTTAAACTAGAGCGTAAGATTTGTGTTTTTCAGTCATACACTCCCTTTCACATTTCTCTCATCTCTAGGGGGAACGGTGTTGCTCATTGCACTGGAGGGAAGCAACTTTTGTAAGCGGGAAGAGGAGAGGAGATGCTGCCTCTCCATTAGCTGTGATTCTCCCCATGAGAATAAAAACCCCGGGCTCCGAGGCAGAGATGAACGCACATGTAAAGTATTAATGGAAGAATTTCAGGACAATATGAATCTGCCTGCAACACTGAAATCCCTTTGTCAAGCACTTTCTTTAGAGTGATTATAGGTCTGCTGGACAACGCAGATTAACTAATCCTTTTTACTAAAATAAGAATGAGTAAATCCTCTTTCACATTCGCACATGCTTTGACTAAGCGGAATCACTTTCTTGGCAATGAGACAAATTACTGGTGGTGATTCAAATCACCCTCTTCCAAGCAACTACCTAGATTTTGTTATAAACAAATTGTTTTACACATTTAACAAATACATTTATTGTTTAATTAAAGCATTTTTTGTAATTTCTTAAAAAAAAATGGTTCTTTCACTATTCATTAGTTCTTATAATCATCACAAAGTCCCAACTGAGAGGTGCCCAAGCACTAGCTGAGTAGTGCGACTTTAACAGCCTTTGCAAAACCATTCGATGCGAATGCTAATTATAACACAAAATGGTAAACGGAAAATAGAATAAAGGCAAGACAGCTTATCAAGTCTAGATAGTTGTTTAACATTATACAATCTTGCTGTCTTGATTGCCTTGACAAAGAAAATGTGGGGTCTGTTATGGTGTTACACAGGAAATCCTTAAGAAACTAGAGAAGAAAAACAAACCAGGACTGAACAGACACAGCAGGAGAAGAACTGTAAAGTAGGCAAAGACCCCGTTCTGGGGCAGACGCTGGTGGCTTGTGCTGAAATGGAAATGCCTGAGCTGGAGGAAGGGTTCTCAAGAGCTGGTCTCAGGATTGATTTTATTCAATATATTCATTGCAGATACTGGCATAAGACATTAAGGATGGGCTGGAAATAGCTGTTGTTGAAACAAATGGGTAGAATGAAACAGTGTACGGGAGGTATCTGATAACCTTCAAGCCTAGGGTAACGGAAAGCAGACAAAATTAATGTTTCAAAGTGCAAAATGAGAGTAAGAGACCAGTAGCAAAAAGGTCCAATACACTCTGGGACCTCATTAGGTAAAATTGCATGAGAGGAGAAAATTGGAGGTATATCAATAGATTGTAGATCAATTAGGTGCCACTGGTATGATTTGACAGCGGAAGAAAGCAAATACGATCCTCGGATGTATCAGAAGTGTTCCTTAGAGAACAGACATTAATGTCATGGTACAAAGCATCGGTTAGACTTTACTGGAGTGGCAGAGCATCATCCTTATCCAACAGGGATTTATTCAGCCTTGAACAGGTACTATAAGAACACACATGAAAAACTGGTATCCCAGGAAAGGGCAAAGGAAGTTTGTTTGGATTCAAGAAAAGGTTGAGAGAGGATGCAGGTGTACAATACATGAAAGAAGAAAAAGAGCTGTTGAAATGGAAGGGAAATGTTTGTGTAAGTAAACTTGGGCCTAAATGATTTATGGCTACATTGTGGTTGGAAATTAAGACGCAACGTTGCAGGGTGAGTGTCCATAGCAGCTTAAACTTGTCTAAACCTGGGCTGTCACCTGGCTACATTTCCTTTCCCTCCATGCCACTAGTCTATGTCATGCTAGTGGCACACGCTATTTAGACCACAGCCAGATCTGCCGCCTGGGAGGCTGAGGCAGCCCTGGTTTAGATTTCAGATGCTGTGGTTTCTGAAATATGGCTTCCACATTCTTCAGGAACACATAGTGAGGACAATAAAGCAAATTTTGAGATGGATCCCCTCAAAATGAAGAAAGACTAAATGAGTGCCTGTGGGAGGAAGTTCTTTTTAGACCCGCATTTAGCTGGAGCCAAATCCTTATACAAGGTGCAGCCACAGTGACAAAACCCAGACGAACCTAGCAGGCAGAAAATGGTGAGAACACTACTCCCATACCCTGCTTGGTAGAAAGCCTGCGATCTAGGAATGTGCAAGTGCTATTACAGATTTCACATTTAAACAGGTAGCTTTCTATATGTACTAAAGGGCTAAAATATTCCTATAGTTATAATGAGCAAAATCTGGCTTTTGCATTTCCAAATTCATTGAAGTGAGGAAGTAGGAAGGCAAAAAGATGGAGCACAGAATCTGTCGTGAGCAGTGGGGAGCAGCACTAACCTGCTCCCTTTGCATTAGTGCCAGTAAAAATGCTGGTGCGTGTCCTGGAGGCAAGCCTGTTTGCAGAGCTCCAACAAGACTGCATGGCTGCGCTACTGAGGGCAGTGTAGTTTACAAAGGATCCTTTAACTCAGACCATGAGAGTATCTTGTTAGACGTGCTGCAAAATTAATTCTCTTGGTCACCACGGCAGAGTGAACCTTGATGCAGTTTTTAATATGGCACTGCTTCTTCCCCTTGCATTTTTATGGCTTAGAGCAAGATGTCCAAATGGCTGAATGGAGTCCATTAGGTAGTTTTATCAGGCCCCTAGAAGGGTCGCCGGTCAGCAGGCTGACCCCTGGCCCACTGTTGGGTTTGTGTGAGTGTTTTTGGATTGATAATGAGTTGGTGCTGCATTCTCCATTTAGGGAATTTAATAAGTGGTTCTCTCAGACATACAGAATTTGCCATCTTTCCATTACAGCAACTGCACCAGTTTAAAAGAGGTGGGGGAAGACAAGTAAGTGAGTTTTAGCATTTACTAAACAAAGAGATGTGTTGAACAGAAACGGCAGAGTAACTTCACAGTGTGCTTACCACTCCCCATTTGTTGCTTGTGGCAGTGTGCCTGACTGCTGGGGTGATACAAACCCATATGATATTTTCACTTACCTCTGGGCTGCATTTCTGGGACAAGGAAGCTGTGTACACAGCTATGGGATGTAGTTAATTGCATCTGGAAATATACAACCAAAATTTTTAGGCTGTGAGTTCGTTGTGGAGCACCTGACCAGAGTGGTTTCTGCCAGGCAGAGGGAGCAATTTATGAGAGTTTTTTACAGCAGCAATGACCTCTGCCTTTGAGATGTCCTCAAAAAAAAAGGGAGACGGGGAAGTGACAGTCGATTGCCAGGGTATTTCCTACTTTCCTCTATGACTGGCAAAAACTTGCTTCTTTTCATTTCTTTCACAGCAGGATCCCTCCCTGGGATGTGTGTGTGTGTAACTTGCCCTTGGAAACATCAGGAAAACTGATGTTTTGTTTTTAAGATCCCGTTTCTTAAGGGGTGAACATATGCATTAGATCAGCATATGTAATCCTATCATTTTCCTGTGGTTGCAACAGTGATCGCAGTGGATCCATGGCACTCTCTCCATCTTCTTTTATCTACATTATTATCTTGCCTGGCTCTATAGTGCAGACACTTTGCTGGTAGAGGCATTTGTCTTTGTCTCTTGTGAACCATTATCCTACTGTCTTTCCTTTCTCCCCACTGCTCATGATAAGAGTGTCCGTTAGGGAAGAAGTCATTACTGCTGTCAAGAAAATGTAGCACTGGAAATATTACTGCAACCTGTAGGTTTACAAAGATTGTCTGCAGAAATTTATCCTTGCTCTTGAAAAAGCAAAAAAACGTGCTCCCAAGTCTGCAAATCTTCACAGAAGCCCTGGGGCCTGGGTGAGCAGGACCGAGGCTGCCATCGGCCACCGCCATTCATCCCCAGAGCTCGCCCTATTCCTCTCCAGTCCCAGCAATAAGGAAGCGAAGCCGCAAGCTCAAATATCCAAGAGTTGCTTGCCAGAAGATCCTTCCCAAGTCCCAAAACTTAAACAGCTGTCTTATTTGCAGTCATAGTGGAAAGCAATAAACTAACGCATTTATTAAATGATAGCTGCTTTGGGGACAGTGGATAGACGTATAAACTATATTCAGTTTGTATATAAGCACTTGTATTGTACATAAACTGCTTGAGGGAAGGAACATATTAATTCTCTTTATGGTTACACAGTCCATAATGCTATAACATAAAGCTCAGATAACATTCACCACTATGTTTTCAATAACATTATCACTATGTACTGGTTAACTGAGGCTCTCAAAGTAAAAATGGCTTGTCCCAATCCCATTGTGAGTCAGTGGGAGGACCATGAATAGAACACAGAAATCCTCTCCCAGTGCCACACTCAGAGCACGTCACAACTTTATTCCCTTCCCTTTCTGGGCTCCCAGCATTTCCTCAGCAGCACTGGCTTCGTTGTGACCGATTTACCATTGCTGCAGTGCAACCTGGAAGTTGGTAAAAAGATGAAAGAAGTGCAAGACTAATTGTTTTTGTTCTCATTACTCAGATATTTTTGTCTGAGATGCATGGGGGTATGCTCTGATGGATCACGTGGACAGGGATAAGGCTGATGCATGGACTTGTGTGATGGGGAGGGAACCGCAGTCCTAGACCACAGCAGAGGAGCATGGCACTGCAGCAGAGGAGCATGGCTCTGAGCCGCAGAGGGTGCAGAGCCCCAGTAGGAGATAAGAGCCCTGGCTTTGGGGCAGCAAATTCCACCCAGCTCTATGACCTCTGGAATATGGCTGGAAACCACAGATCGCCTAGGCTGGCTCCATTTGCCACATGCGGTCATGGAGCAGGACAGGCTGCAAAAATACCCAAAGGCACAAGTGAATCCCATGTATTGCACAGGAGATTGGGTGGTGAATGCAAAAGCAAGGGAAGGAGCACTCATTGGCAAGCGTCTCAGAAACACAGACTTGCAGTTTCATGCAGATCCAATGTCCGCATTCCCAAGCTCTCCACATGCTTATGTTCTACTTTATTTTTTAAAACCCTGTCACATTGAATTTACACCAGAGACAGATTGATTCAAACAACGAGAACAGCTGTTACAGCAATCCCAAAGGAGAACTTAGCAGAACACTAGAACCCAAGTGCTGTCTAATGGCAAACTGTCTCTCTGTGCTATGAATCCTCCCATTAAAACACCCACCACTGACCGGGTGGCACAACCACTACCCCGTGTGCTGATATTCGCACAAGAACAAGATTCCTTCACTTCTCCACTCACATCTAGACAGCAGGTCACCGTCTTACTGAGAGTCCTGTGGCAGTGAGTTGACTCTGACCATTCTTTTTAGAAAATGTATGGGAAGAGGAGCTGTTTTCCTTAAGACTGCTCTGCAAAGATCTGCAATCTCTGCTCTGCAAAGATCCAACATCCAACGCTAAAGGTGACTTCCCCAAAAAAACAGCTAGCACTGCTTTCCACACAGCAAAATTTGTGACCCACTTCACTTTTTCAGTATTAAAAAACAAAGCTGATTTAATCAAAACTTTTACAGATTTTCACTTTGGAGAAATCTCACTCATACCTGCGCCCTTAGCCCTGCCCCAGCTGCCACTGCTCTGGGCAAATCGAAAGGTCCATTTGGATTTTCCAGAAACTTAATTTGCTCCATATGACTGACAGTAGGCATCTGGTAAACCTGCAAACTATGCACACAAATCAGCTCAACTGTTTATCTTTCTGTCTTCAGTGCAAGGAGTTTACCTTCCACACTGGCTACGAGGCCCTTGTACAGCGGCTGTTGGATGGGAGGAAGATGTGCAAAGATGTGGAGGATTTGCTCAAGCAGAGGTAAGAAAATCAGAGTGAAAAAAGTGTGAACAGCCTCCATTTTCTCTCCTGTTTGGCATCTGGAAAGGAATAGTAGGCTGTTTCTGAATTTGGTAGTGATACTAGTTTACATAGAAAAGCCCGAGTGATTTGAATCCTAGCCTTTTGTCATGATTTGTGAAGGCAGAAAACAAATAGAAATTTTGAAGATTTGAGAAGAGAAGAGAGGGGTGAAAGAATCAGAAATCCAGAGCTCCATTAAGACTCAGGTAGTTATTGGTCCACAATCACACGGCAGCACGTACATCCACAACAAGTAGCATTACCAAGTTTCCCCTTTTACAGGGAGCATTTTTCTTTCCCTTTAAACGTGCTGTTGCCACAGGCACTGTTTCAGTTTCCTGCAACTACCAAAAATGGGCCATTTTTCAAATACAGACAAAGCTATGTAAGATGCTACAAAAAGCCTTTCCCAGACACCCAAGACAGCCCACATCATTCGCCGACCTTACTAGACTTTGAATAACAGTGTCATAGATTATGTCCATCCTTTACATGCTTCTTGGGGGCCCCTCAACAACAGCTATGGACAGCTGACACTTTTGTGGGTGAGAAAATACATATTACACAGCTGCTCTGACTCCTTTGCCATTCATTTTTGTACTACTGAGTTAGAAAAAAATATCTGAAATTTGGTTCTGTTTTTAAGTGGCTGGGTTTCAACAGTTTCAACATGTAGCACGAGGCACATACATGCTCATGCATAACCCGTAGGAAAGACCACACAATATGGATTATATATGCAGCAGGTAGTCCTAGAGCAGTTAATCTCAGAACTGTCTCCTTACGAATATTGCTCTGCCTTCCTCAGTCACAGACTGCTTTTTCTTCCCATGCTGTTCCCATCTAGTTTTCTGGCTTTAGGTTGGTTTTCTGTCCCAGGCTACTGGGACTTTCAAGGGGATGTGAGCTGTCAAACTGAAAGTTGACTATGTCACAGCATGTGAAGAGTTTCCCACCAAAATCGGAAGCTATTTGAATTGCTTTTCTTGACCACCAGTGGAAGCATATTTTATTACCGCATGTCACTCAGTCCTGAAGTCACATCTGTCTGATGGTAGCTTAGCTTTAACTGTTTAAAATAGCTCCTTTGTGACACATAACTTACAGAGATCAGAATTACATTGCAGGCTTCAGGCAGGCTCTACACTGCAGCATGCATCTGATGCTATATACGCCTGTGTTTCTTTCCAAAACATATTAGAGAGGTTTGTGCAAGTTGCAGGATAAGGTTCTTCCTGACTTGTGGTGGAGGCACAAAGGACTTTCCACAAAGAAGAAAAAAAATACACATACAATCATTTTGCTGATATGAAAGATACAAGAACAAATGTTTCCATGAACTTTTGCACACCCCCAAAACATTCCAGTGAGCATGCATACGTGCGTGTGCTTGTGTGTGTACATACATATTGGGGGAGGAGGAAAAGGAGAAAAGATAGCGGGCACTGAGTTGCAGAAAGAAGGTATTATTTCCAGTTTATTTCTGGAAGATGCTTGTTTCAGCTTGTCCTCATGTCATTCATAGGAATGACCTAGGAGGAGATCAAAGCATGTGATGAATCTGTGTTCCTAAAGGCTGCCCATATCATGGGCTTCATGCCAGAATTTCAACAAGGACTCCTGCAGCAGCTGCCCTGAGTCCTGAAACCAGCTGCCCTGGTTATACTAACACTTCATCAGTTTTCCACCCAGGTCAATTACTTTTGCTCACAAATATCCCTGCCTGGTCCAGAGGAGGGTCTAAGAGATTGGGGAGTGAGAAAGCAATTGTATTCCAGACCAAAGCCCCAGCTTTAAAACACAAAATATGTTCCAGCTCTCGACGGCTGCAGGGAAACCTAGAAGCTGTGTGCAAGAGTACTGGAAAGTGGTAAAGGCAGCACCAAGATATGAAAAGCAAAGTCTCTGACACAAAAATGTTTCTTGTTATTAAAATCAGAAGAAAAAGAATCTGTTCTTCTTCTGCAGCTTTATGTGTCTCTGCAGTATATTTCCATTTTGATGAAATTTCATTCATCTATCATGAAAGCGAAGTGGTACATCTGTGTGGCCTATCATTGTATTTTGCGCCCTCTTCTTCTAGGAGGAATCCCAAAGCAGTGACGTAGGAACACCCCACTAAAACGTAGCAATTTCTAGTGCAGGATGACAGCAATTAACTAATTGCACATGCAGTGTTAGACACACGGGAGCCACGGACAGAGGCCAGGAGCAGCCTCCACTTCTGGCTGTGGCAACTGTACGCTGCTGTATGACCAGCACTGCTATTCCACCAGCCTGACAGATCTCCTTGGACAGGGGGCAAGTCCCCAGGACGAGCCTGCCTCAGGTCACAGATGATGGTTGCAAACCAGTGAAATTGCACCAGAGCCACCGGTACAGCTGGCTACAACGCAAGGTGCTCACAGCCATCAGAGCAGAGGAACAGTCGGAAGGGCAGTCGGATGTTCTCAAACAGAGACCCACCCCAACAGCTGCTGTGTTGCAAAACTGAAAGACCAGCCCTCAAACCGCTGGAACTCAGCAAATAGTAATAATAAAGCACAGCGTGGCCGAGTGGGAAGATGGATGTAAGAACAAACCAGCGGGGTTGCATGGCCTTGCACCCACATAAAAATTCCTTTTTTGAACAAAGGGTACATTTCTCTAAGGTGCCAAGTTTCAGGCTCAAAGCTGTTTGAAATGCTTTGAAACCCCTTTTGAGAACTGGACTTACCCTAACCAAAATCCTGCCCTCCAAATCCTAGCACCAGGCTATCTGTTCATTATTTATTATTGACCATTCAATAGTTTTTAGCAGCTACTCAAAGACTGACAACTCAGTTCCACCCCGGTCTTGCACCCAGGAGAAAGGAAATAACATATTTAGTACAAATACTTTTTTTTTTAAACAGAGAATAGAAATTTCTTTCAGAGCTGGGGGAGGGGAGAACAGCAAAGAAATAATTGTTTTTCTTTATTAACCATAGAAACAGAACTACTTTCCTGAGTCACTAGTTACAGTTCCCCATTAGGTGAGATATCACATCGTATTGTCCCCTCCATAAAACTGTCACAGCCTCACCTTACAAATAGCAAGGCTCCTTCCCCCTCTGCCTCCATTGCAGCTGTTCAAGCAGCACCTCATGTTTCTAATAGTTAGAAATGTTCCTGCTACTCCTGGCTCCCATTTATTCACAACCTCTCTTAAATGGATCCTTTAGAACCTACCCTTCACTCCCCTCCCAGCCTTCATTTTGATGGGTCAAGTCAGCCGTCATCTTTTAGGTTTCTTTTGCAAAAGAGGCTCTCCGTTCTAAGCATCTTCACTACACTTCTGTACACCTCTTCTTCTAATTGAATCCAACTTTTTGGGGACAGAGTTGTACGTAGCACTCCACAGTAATCAAAGCCACGGAGATGGGCTTCGTTTTTCCCTCATTTCTTCTAGAAATAGCTCACCCAAAATATTTATAGGTAACTAATAGCACTAGGATTGAGGAGGTAGAGAAATTAAAGAAATAAATGTATTTCTCATGTTTTGTACCTCAGATGCAATTAAAAGATTTGTGTAAATGTGATCCTGGTACCACTAAGAGAAATTGAATAAGTTTTTCTTTTAACAGAGCACAAGCAGAAGAGAGATATGGGAAAGAGCTGATTCAAATTGCCCGAAAAGCAGGAGGACAAACAGAAATCAAGTAAGGAATTCTTTTATTAGTGCAAATGAAAGCATTTTGGAAGCAATATCAGACTCCTGTGTTTTGCCTATGAATGGGGTCATCAGCTGCTCACTTCAGTGCGTTACAGAGCACTTCACAATGTACAGGAAAAATGGGGAAACAACATAGTCCTTCAAAGCAGGATTCACAAAATCTTGATTTGGAAATTGCCAGTAGGTCTCTACTGAGAATTTTTTTAATGTCAGGATTCCTAACAATGTTTAATATTTGCTTCCACAAGCAAACTAAGTGATGGGAAAAAAAGGGAAAGAAAAAGGTTGTGAAATGTTTAGGATGGTGGCTTGGCATTTCTGGGAAGCTGGTGGACACTGAGAGACTGTGACAGGACAAACACAGAGTGCAAAGACACCAAAAATTAGCTTCTGCAGCAGGAAAAAGGCTTAGCTTAGGAATACAAACTTTTAACCTCTTTGAAGGGACTTCATTTGAAACAAATCAACGGAACTACTAAAATGACACATATTTTTCTCTGTCTCCTCTACTACTATCTTAGATCACGTATAAATTGTGTTGGGAGAGGAAGATATATGTTGGCATGGAATTTAACTTAATAAACACTGCTGATAAACTGCTGCTATTATTGATAGTAGCAGCAATAATGAGACATTTTGTCATTATTGTAACAAGTACAGTAATATGGTGGCAGAGGATGAAGATTTGGGGTGACAGAAGACAAGTCTGAAAGAGAAGACCTCAATCTAAACACAGAACAGCTCTCGATCCCTAGGGCCTGCTACCCTCATCCATCCCATACCTCATTTCTTACTTGCAGTCTCCTTTTTACGTTGATTTATCACTCTCTGTGAGCGTGGTTTCCTGTTCAGATTTTATGGGAAAACTTGACCTCAAACCCTTGCACCACCATGGCATGCAAGTGCCAGGCAATCACCCGTAGCACTTGCTATCGATTCAGTGGTGGCACATCCAGGCCGACAGGGAAACTGTTGCATTAACCCAAGCACCTGGTAGTGCGGAGACCACTGAGGCTCACTGCAGAGAACGTGCAAGCCTCTCCTCCCCTAGTGCTCCATCTCTCCCTTGCCCCTGAGCAATGCAGTAAGGTATAGCAAGGTTCCTAGCAAAGGCTGCTGGAGGTGGCTTCTACCTTCCTGCTGTCTCAATTCACAGACTTAATTGGAGAAAAGGAAGGAGAAGAAAAAATTATTTTGAAATTAAAATAGCAGATTAAGGATGGATGGCTTCTTCCCAAACCAAAGGCTAAGATCAGCATTCCAGGATTAACGAAAGGCTCCACCTAAATTTCTTTACTGCCCTGCTCTGCAGGGCAAGCAGAGCAAACGTGTTCAGAAACAGACAGCTTTGGCTGCCCTTCTGTGACTTAGTGGATAATTCATGGGTCTGACTTTTCCTAAGAGATTATAAGAGCTTAATTTAGAGGCAGAGCCAAGTCCCAGATTTGGGACATGGATCCAAGTTCCCCTCAAGTTGGGGGAAGTTTGGACTCAGGCGCAGCTCCACTTTGATCTAGCGATTTTATAGCTTGGCATAGAGAGAAGGCTGAATATACCAACAAAGCATGCTGCAGAGCTGCTTTACTATGTTTCCATAAACCCACGCCTGGTCTGGATAGCGACCAGCTTTGCGCTGATATTTTTATCAGAGGAAATGTCTCACTGTATCTGCTCTGAAGCAGAGAGAGGACACTTTGCTTTCTGTCATTCAGCATCCTCTGGTTGTTTAAGGAGTTACACAGATGGGCAGTGAAGGGCATTTGTCCAGAGTAAACACTTTAAAATCAGAGAAAACTAGGGTCTATTCAGGGCTGGAACAACTCATGAAAATGAAATATTTGGTTTTAATGCCTTAAAATTTTTGACACAGTGTGAAGTTTCTGTTTGTTTATATGACATTGATTGCTGACAGCAGTTCTGCTCCCAAGGTCAGTCCTTCAGGGAGACCGGAGGGAGGGAACCTATGTACTACCTATAATAAGAAAAGCTTGAAAGGACTATGCTACAACTATCCCCATGCATTACTCCAAGTGCTTCCTCTTTATAGGACTCCCTATTATCGACTAGCCCACTGAATCCTAAGTATTACAAATACTTGACAGGCTGAACAGGGTTGTTCACATCTTTGAATGCAGCTTTGGGTAGCAGTATTTCTCAAATAAAGTCTAATGAAGGTGTTGTGCAGGTATTTGTACCTAAAACTTGCATTTGACACTCATCAGGAAAAAAGTAGCTTCCAGGTTTTTTTGCAGAACATTTTATAGAACTTCCTGTGCCATGCTATGTATTGCAGAGGAGCAAGAATTACTAATTTTAGATCACTCACTCATTTTCTTGCTAATGCAAAAGTATGCTCTAGTCTTAAATTCAGTTATCTTTTAAACATCTCAGGTACTAAGGCTTTCTGTTGCTTCTCCTGGGAAATTATTTCACACCCAATAGTTCTCAATATCAGGAAGGTATCCGATACCCTTTCAAAAAGTCGATAAAAAGAACAAAGAAAATCCATCCGCAACAACCACCCACAAACTGCCAGTGTCAGAAAATATCCAGAAGACCTTAAGAGAAACAACTGCAAGGCCAATTAATTCTGTTTAGCACATTATAAACAACTTCCGAAACTAATGAATTGGCTGCAAAAACCTCCCATCACTCCACCAGGTTAAAGCGATGCTCTGTAGTTGCTATGGAAAGAAGAGCAGGAGAGAAGCGGCACAAAGCTGGAGCAAGCAGCAGTCCCTGTGCGGGGGGCCTGTTGGCAAAGCATCCGTGGCAAACCCATACCGCAGCCAACGCCAGATCTGCCGAACTGGAGACGGTGGCACCGCTACACGCGATGAGCAGCCCAGCAGGGCCTTATGTGCTTATATCCTCCCAGTACCAGTGTGAACAGCTCTTTCCAACTCCAGAAATGCAGATCCTGGCAGCTGCCCAGCTCTTCTAATCTCAAACCCTCAGAGGTTAAAAAATGTAGAGAGAAAAAAAAAAAAACATTCTGTTGCTTCCTGTGCTTGGAGAGAAGAGGGTCTGCTCAAGGGAGAAATTAGGCAGTGGCGAGCAGGTACTGCCTGGGTTGTTACTTCAGCACAGTCAGGACCGGCACAAAACAAGGCGAAGAGAATAATCACAATGAGTAAATACAAGCAACGGGGAGAAGCCTGGAGAAGTCTATGGCACACTGCACCAGGTAGTGGACATCACCGTAGAAAAGAGTGCTCTCCCAAGCCTCCCCCATATTTTAAAAGTTTTTCATTTTGAATCAAAGAAAAAAAAATTTCAACATTTTTTCAGGCTCTTCCCTCTCCCCCAAAATTTTGCTTCAGCTGGAACAAATTGGTGAACTCAGCTAAATGTATAAATAGATTCAACTACCCATTTTTATTTACTGAAAGACACAGATGAAGAAATATGCTGCTGACTCAAAAGAAAGATAGTAGGGAAAGCTCACTGAAATATAACAGCAACTCTGGGACCACTCTCCATTGCTTTGAGAAAAATCTGGGTGACAGCAGCCATCAGGTTTCCATCCTATATGCTGTCCAGTGCTTGTTCCCTCAGCATCGCTACAGCTCCTCTGATGGAGAACTGACCCCTCGGGACATGGCACTGCTCGTGCTTGGCAGAGACAACTACAAGCCAAGAGTGTACTAGGACACTTCGTTACTGAGTATCAGCAGTAATATCACATCGTGACCTGGGAAAAGAGGACAACGTTGTGTCTCCACCTGCAGACTCCTTAGCACCAGAAATGTGAGAAATCACTTTGACCTGAGAGCTAGCAGAGGACAAATTTTTAGCACTGCTACTGGAGGTGCGACAACTTCAGTGAGGTCCTCGCTGTTCTTTTTCAAGCCAGTATTGGAAATGGCTATGGCCAGCCTACAGCTGTAGAAAAATTTCTAGCAAAACTAAAATCAGAGAGGCAGACATGCCGCAATGAGGGAGACGTGCCGCAACAATTTTTTATTTAAAAAAAAAAGCAAACACAGGGTTTCTAAAAGAAGCTGGTGCTGGTTACCATGGACATAGCAAACAAATACTCCAGCTTCCAGCTCAGGAAATAAAACTTCCCTATAAGTGCTGCCTAACAGCCAGAGCACACAGTCATTCAATAGTCCAGCCTGATTCAAGCAAATTTAGGTGTTCTGGGTGCTTGCCCTTGCCTCGAGCACTGCAGCTGGTAGAAACTATTTCCTATAGGGAAGGGAGATATCCTCTTTCCAACCCATGACACAGATCTAAGTCAGCAGTTGCTATAGGCCTTGGCAAGTTCATTCTAATGTACAGAAGGATGCAAGAAGGGTCACACAGGCTCAGACCAAAATCCCTTCAGCCTAATACTCTGTCCTCAACACTAGATCCCAAGGGAAGAGTAGAAGAACAGGGCAAGCATATGAGGATATATTTCTCCTAAATAATCTTCTAGCCTTAGCAATTGGTAGTTCAGGGGCTGCCACACCAGCAGCTTTGTATATAGTAGCCCCCAATGGAGTTTCCTTGTGTCTTTTTCTTATTTGAAACCCCAAGACTTTTTAGCATCCACTGAGTCTTAAGGTAAAGCAATGTACTTTCCTATTAAGTGCAGAGGTGCCTTCTTCTTTGTTGATTTTTAGGCCACCTCATCACACTTGCCGTGTTAGATCAGACACACCTGACAAAGGCAGATTAGCTTCCTTACAGTGGGGTTCCTCAACGCACGTCTGCATTGGTGAGCTGCGGTCCCACTGCCTGTTCTGGTTCTTACAAACACACCCAGGCCCATAATAACACCAAAACTATGGAGAAGCCTGGGTGCTTCTTTCGAGTTAATCACCTGGATGTGCCAGCACATGCTTGTGGCTATGCTTGGGAATACGGGTGGCTGGAGAGTCTTAGTGAAAGCACTGGGAGGAGAACAGGTATTGGAAGGGAACATGAGAGAGTATCAGTTGCAAATGTACCTTGAGTGGGTCAGACCCAGGAGAGTGGGCAGCCCTTGCGGAGCGG